ACCGATAAGTTTTGTTAGTCATAACACAAAGTATGAGCAAAATAGAATCAATGAAAATTAACATAAAATATAGGTAGTATTTAAGCGCATTTTTAAGGGATTTCGGGGGTCCATGATCGCGTCCCCTAAGGCATTCCCTGCGCGTTGGGGGTGTCCTATCCTGACCTGTATCGCTTGAAATGATATTTAAAGTATTTTAAATTGCATTTTCATTAATTCTACGCGTTTCCCGTGCCTCAAACAGAGTCTTTAAAATTTCTCGAAAAAATCGAAAATTTGGCAACAAAGATGGCGTCGGGACGGGCTCAGGACATCATCCAAAAATTCTGAAAAAATTGAGCGTTATTTTTATGCCAAAACGCAACTTTTTAGCACTAGCCGTCTTGGAATTTCGAAAAAAGTTCAAAAACGGTCCACCCTAGACAGTACTTCCCTCCATAATTTCTCTTTGATCTCAAAACTGACGTACATTCTCCAGAAAAAGACAGGTTCCCACGTAATCGACCCCGAGAAATCCAAAGGAGGAGTAACGTTTTGGGCCTTTTCCGGCCCCACCTGGATTTTGCTAAATGTTTCATATTTTCAAAGTACTAGTCTTAGGTAGACTCTGTGCCAAATATTAGACCGAACGGAGCCCATGCAAGGGCGCAGCAGCGCCTCAAACCCAAAATCCTGGAATCGAAAAATAATTATTTTCGACGACTTTTTCGACCACTATCACTCTTCCAGCAGATGATTCTTATGTAATTTTTTGCGTACTTTCCGTTTCTGGCCATTTTAAAGTCCTCCAATTAATTTTAAAAGGCCTGATGGCCCATTGTTGCCATTTTCGGTCCATTTTTAGGGGTTTTTTCCATTTAACACATTCAAAACTTAATTTAATCCAAAAACTGTGTACATTTTTGAAAAGTACGAAATAAAATGAATAAAAAATGTTCAGTAAAATTTTTTCCTGCGTTGCCAAATTTCCGAGAAAATTGGTCCCAAAGTGTCAAAAACGGCAAAAAATCGATAAATCGCCGCGTCTAAGGTTCAAGAAAGTGAAGTACAACTTTCATATTGTACCGGGTATTAGCTCTTATCCATCCATACAACATATTAAAATATCATAGTTGTACCTGGATTCCCACGATGTGAAAATTGACCGAGATGTCGATTTTAGCGGCCTTTTTTTACTTGAAGGTAGCTCTTTTGAATGTTTTTCGACCTTAGTCACCCTCTATGGATGTGTACTTTATGTATTTTTCTACGTACTTTTCATATCTGGCCATAAATATGGCTTCCTGTGAATTTTAAAGGGCCTAACGGTCCATTGTTGCCAATTTTCACCAATTTTTAGGGGTTTTTTCAAGTTTACGTGTGTGAAACTTAATTTAATCGAAGAACCGTGTACATTTTCGGGAAGAACGTAAAAAAATACATAAAAATGTGATTTGTACCTTTCCCCTACGTTGCCAAATTTTCGAGAAAAGTCGTCCTAAAGTGCCAAGAATGCCAAAAATTGGATTAATCATCACGTCGAAGGTTCCAGGAAGTGAATTATGACTTTCATGTGGATCGTGAGACGCTTTTTCCACGCATTTTCTGTTGTTCGGTATATTTGGCCTGTAGCAAGCATCTTGAGGACCAAGGATTATCTTGAGGTTACAGGAATAAAGAGGTGAACTGGAGTGAAGGATAAAGTAAAAGCACCTTGAGGGCCCGTTTTGTTACGTTCATCTGCGCCATTACATGTTCCGTGAGATGCATTGCAATTTTCCATTTTCGATACGTTATTTGTAGTGAAAGAAAACTTGAAATTCACTTCCTGGAACCTTCGACGTGATGATTAATCCAATCTTTGGCATTCTTGGCACTTTAGGACGACTTTTCTCGAAAATTTGGCAACGTAGGGGAAAGGTACAAATCACATTTTTATGTATTTTTTTACGTTCTTTCCGAAAATGTACACGGTTCTTCGATTAAATTAAGTTTCACACACGTAAACTTGAAAAAACCCCTAAAAATTGGTGAAAATTGGCAACAATGGACCGTTAGGCCCTTTAAAATTCACAGGAAGCCATATTTATGGCCAGATATGAAAAGTACGTAGAAAAATACATAAAGTACACATCCATAGAGGGTGACTAAGGTCGAAAAACATTCAAAAGAGCTACCTTCAAGTAAAAAAAGGCCGCTAAAATCGACATCTCGGTCAATTTTCACATCGTGGGAATCCAGGTACAACTATGATATTTTAATATGTTGTATGGATGGATAAGAGCTAATACCTGGTACAATATGAAAGTTGTACTCCACTTTCTTGAACCTTAGACGCGGCGATTTATCGATTTTTTGCCGTTTTTGACACTTTGGGACCAATTTTCTCGGAAATTTGGCAACGCAGGAAAAAATTTTACTGAACATTTTTTATTCATTTTATTTCGTACTTTTCAAAAATGTACACAGTCTTGGATTAAATTAAGTTTTGAATGTGTTAAATGGAAAAAACCCCTAAAAATGGACCGAAAATGGCAACAATGGGCCATCAGGCCCTTTAAAATTAATTGGAGGACTTTAAAATGGCCAGAAACGGAAAGTACGCAAAAAATTACATAAGAATCATCTGCTGAAAGAGTGATAATGGTCGAAAAAGTCAACGAAAATAATTATTTTTCGATTCCAGGATTTTGGGTTTGAGGCGCTGCTGCGCCCTTGCATGGGCTCCGTTCGGTCTAATATTTGGCACAGAGTCTACCTAAGACTAGTACTTTGAAAATATGAAACATTTAGCAAAATCCAGGTGGGGCTGGAAAAGGCCCAAAACGTTACTCCTCCTTTCATGGTCTCGAAGCTCCTCTAGCCCCCCTTAGAGAGTAAACGGGGGGCCCAATTTTAAAGTTCGGGGCTCCTTTCCGAATCGCAAATTGATTGCATCCAAATTGAGGAGCAGAACACATTTACATCTTAAGTGACCCCCACGAGTTCTAATTGAACCCCCTGAACGGCAGAAAGTAACCCCCTGAAGAGAAGGGCTTTGCTCCCTCCAAAAGTTTCTCAAGATTCCTCTTTGGTCGCACAATTGACGTCGATTCTCCAGAAAAATACGGTTTCCCAGGTAATCGACCCTGAGGACTCTGAATTTCATGGTCCTTGGGCTCCTTGGGGTCCCCGTTTACCCCCCAAGGGAGCCTGGAGGAGCTTCGGGATCATGAAATTTGGATTTCTCGAGGTCGATTACCTGGGTACCCGTCTTTTTCTGGAGAATCTACGTCAGTTTTGAGACCAAAGAGAAATTATGGAGGGGGGGTACTGTCCCCCTCTTTAGATAGTCTTTTTTGGGCCTTAGATGGGCCGATTTAGGATTGTTAGGGGTCAATTTCACGTGAAATTTTCCGTGCTTTTCCATTCTGATGCGACTTATCCGCAGTTCGGTCGGGAACCGTGACTTTTAGCATCGTGACCCCCCCCCTTTACCCCCCAAGGGGGGCATGGGGGTTTCGGGACCACGAAATTCGGATTCCCTATTCAACCCCGCGGTCCCCGACTTCGTACGACCTAAAACAACCGAGAAAAAGGCCTGATACGGGTGGTCTGAAACACCCTGTTTACATACATACATTACACAGCCACAAGCAAAATCTTGGAAACACAATTCCTGACGAACTGCCGGACCGATAAGGATGATCTTTACATGTATGTCATCTGTAGTAGATGTAGATGTGCGAAAAATTATGAAACCTCGAACTTTTAATGTTGTAGAGCTTTTAAATCTCATGTCACTTGAGTCCAATGTTAATAGCGTGAGAGATATGTCGTTTCCGCTAGAAACGTCAAGGTGTGGGATTCTACCTGAGTGACTCGAATAAACAATAAAACAATGGAAAAGCTCGTGAAGGACTCCCCATTCGAAGAGTTGAGGAACGGTGCATCGCTCAGGGTTCAAGGTTCAAGGTATAAGGTTTTTACTCACTTTTTCCTCATTCTTCCGGCTTCGATTTGTGGCATTGGTCAACTTACTTGATTGCTGAATTTCTATTAATATTTACAGCAGATAAACAGCAGATACAAAGTGAGAGGGCAGGCGCTGCGTCGCGTCGGGACGGACCAGATATTATTAACTCTTAACGGTCGAAATCCGATTTTTTTTAAGTATTTAAAAATAACATAATAAATGGAAATTTCTCCAGTACGTGGACTGTAAAATTATGTACATCCAGCTATACTTCATCATTTACAAATCTGAGTGTTACGTCACAAATTTTGAAATCGATGCAGCTCGAACACAAAATGGTGTATTAAAATGGAAAAACATTTTAGCCTATACATATGAATATAGGGCCCGCGAAGCGGGCCTGAGGGCGCGAGGCACCCTCCCGGGGGTTGGGCCGCGTAGTGGTCAGGGGACACGGCCCCCTAGTACAAATATACACACATATATATATATGTATATATACACATGAATTTGAATGGCATATACTTTCGTGATCGACGACCCGTGATCGGTGCTCTTCACAATGTCTCAGGTCTGGATTCGACATCATGGGAGAATGCAATAGTGTATTTTCTTCGGAAAATACACTAAAAAATCAGAATCCCCTCAAGGTGGTTTCCCAAAAGTGTTGAAGAGTCCCAAACGATACTTTTCTTAACTCATAGGTACTTGGGAAATTTCAAATCTCTGTCCTAGTGACACGAGCCCTTGGATTCCCTCACTTTTCCAGGGCCGTCAGGGGTTTCGATCGAGGCTACCGACCGAATCGCAAATGGATCGTATTAAATTTGAAAATTAAGGACAATTTTCGACTTGTAGGACATCTTAATGTTCAAAAAGGGGAGGGGGTCAAAGTTGAAAATTGGGAATATTTTCGTGAAATTGTTACTCAAGAACTGAAAAGTTTTGTAAAACACGGTTTAGAAACCACGCTGGCGGACGTGCGTCAGGAGCCAATACGCCCGAAAAAGTAATGCTATATTGAGAAAAGTGATTTTTTTTTAGATTAAATAGTAGAGTATCTTACCATTTTAATTGCTACGTGTTCATTGGTGTATAAATTTTTTCCTGAAACAAGGAGACAAAAATGCGTGTTTAGTAGGAGTATCATAAGACCTGAGAAGATTAATGATTATCAGAAGAAAATTAGTTCAGAGTACGATTATATGAGAGATGGAAAAGATTATTGAAATCAAGTGGCCCGATTTTAATTGGAGTTAAAATTCACTCTCATCAGGCATTCATTTATGCGCCGAATGATAGACGGGAAATAAACGGAAGTAACTCAATTCCATGAATATACTTGAATTAATTAAACACCCTTCGATGGAAGTGGCCCTTTTTTAAGGTGGTCGTGATCCTCCGTCCTTCGGGGAGCTGAGGACGGGGGGCAACTTTCGAATCTCACATGGGAACCCTCATCGTGTGATACTTCGTTGGGAAGATAACCCAAAAAAAGGGGGAAAGTATGGCGCAAACCGCAGGTCACTTTCAGTCACCGTTTCAAAATGGCAGCCGGTTGAAGTTCAAAATGGATGCAAAAAGATATCTCGGTTGATTTTCGGACGATTCCAATAAAACTTGGCATCTGGGTGGTTTAAGGCACGAAAGAAACAAATCTGACATCAGAATTATGAATATTGCTTTATTTTCAAGCTAGCGGCTTTAAAAATGGCGGAGTGAGGGTATCTCGGTTGTTTATTGGTTACATTCGCTTAAGCTAAGTATCCGGTGGTTTTTTCCTACATACAGTACAAACCTGATGACAGAATTAAAAACAAAAATTGATTCAGCACATACCAGCAGGGTTCAAAATGAAACATCCATACGCAAGGATTGATCCGTAAAAATCTTTCAACAACTTTCAGGGCAACGACAACAAGTCCGGCCCTCACCAGGTTGTCAAAGAAAGAAATGAAAATAAAATCTGACATCGGCTATTTCGGTTGTTCACCTGCTGATCAGGATGAAATGGATAGCATTTTGCTATTCGGAACTATAGGCAGTACGGTAGGTTTTCAGGAGAGCAACCTTTGCAAAAACCATTGGCGTTTTTCCTCAAAACGATCAATGTTGCGGTTTGATGGTTCATTTTATAGGTATGGAGTTCCTCTAACACCCTGTGTTGACAGATTCTTCGAAAACATCACACTGTTGCCAAAAATTACAAAAAAAGGCTATAGTTCCTTATTGCAAAATGAAGAATCCAAGGAAGCTCATTTTGCAATTAGGAACTATAGATTGTTTCAGCACTGACTGCATAGGGGAGACGACCCTGGTCACGGTGCGTTTTAAACAGTTTTAATGCGGTCAACATACCACCCGCGATTTTTTTGCGGAAATGTCAACTAGAAGGCCTACTGATTGAGGAACAACAAACCGCGAAATCTGTGATGGGGCCGTTTTTGAGAAAATGCGATTTTTCGCTTTTTTGGCGGGAATTTCGGGTCAAGGCGCTGAAAAAGTCAAGTTAGGCTGTTTTTGTAGTTCGTAAATGCATATCCTATACATTTTGAGTCAATCAA